GGCCCTGGACTGCCTCCCTGCTAAAGCAAGACTAAACTCAAGCTCTGCTACGCGAGCTTTCGTGATTAGGTCCCGATTCGCACGTACCGGCAATGACTTGAGAAGGCTGACGACAGCTCGTCGGCAAGGGTTGCACGCAGGGCACTGCCGGCGATGGCCAGCAACAGCAACAGCAGCAGTGGTAGTCGCGGTATCGAGTAGGATTGGCGGCGGCAGAACAGCAGCGCTGGGAGCGGCAGTTGAAGCGATGCCCCGGCCAAACTCGGAAAACAAGGCTCATTATCCACACATGGGCGGGCGGCTGAGGTCCATGATAAACGTCGAAGCTTTGAGAGCCAAGATAGGGCTTCAAGGTATCGAATTATGATTCATTGTGACACCTTAAAAAAATAATTCAAACTCCCAACTGCTTGGCCCGAACTTGGCCCCGAAGTCCAAAAGAACGAGCAAACTGCAGCCAGGGGTAGTAGCAACAGTACCACTGGCAACGGTAGTGACAAGGAGTGTGAATAAACAGAAAGGAGAGCCAGCGGTAGCGATGGTGGTAACTCCGCGATAAGAATGGGATCGATAAGGCTAGGAACGGTATTTGGAGGTTTGCATCCATGCAGAATCACTGAGACTTATCGATGCTTTAAAGGGTTGGGCCAGGGGTAGCACCCGTCCATTGCCGCACAGCACATCAAACACAACCATGGCCCATGTAGACGCTCGATTTTGCCCATGGCTGCACAGCGCAAAAAAAGCATGTAAATGCTCGATTTCGCCTACAGCACATCAAAAACAACCATGGCCCAGTAGATGCTCGAGTATAGTACATCCTGGACAATGCACCCAACCGACAGCACAAAGCACCAAAAAGACAAGCACCTAGCGCGATGCTGTATAAACAGGAGCATGCAAGATACTACAGTAGTTGACTGCATGGATTGACAATACACTTGCTTATTGCATTACCTACTGTAGATGCGGGCAGACAGACCGCCCTATTCAGTGCAAGCCCCCACAGAGAGGGAGAGAGAGAGAGAGAGACAGGGAGAGGTAGGTCTTGCACAAGCGTTTGCATAGGTGAGGCGGTGTTGTTGCACTGCTGCACCTCTTCGAGGAGCAAAACCCCGAAACTGAGAAACAGACTCGCTGAGCCAGACCTCAGGCTCGATGTGTAACAGCAGGCTGGTGCTCCAGTCATCGAGGTCACTGAGGTCCCTTGCGGGTGCCGGCATGACACCATCTCCACTTAGCAAGGGACCTGCCAAGAGACTGAAGTGTGCCACAGTGCAGACAACATTTGCCCATGTCCCGGCCTAAGCAGGCATCTAAGGCGCCTGACAGTAATTGTCATTG